ACAAATCAGTCAGTCGATGCTGTTTACTCGTACCATACATTACCAAACCTCTTAGAGAACAATATTTTTTTACACCTGTCACCCAGTTCTGTTTTCCATTGTTATCATAAAGCATGATTATGTTCTAACATTTCTACGATAATCTGTTTGATGACATATTAACTCTTCTTAACCAACATTTGATTACTTACATTTATGATTCGATGAAGACAAGAACCCTACCATATTCACAATACGTCAATATAAATGGTTGGTCTTGACATTTGTGTCGTTGCGGATGAAGGTAAGGGCAAAATCTGATAGGACACCGATGTCCTTGAGAAATGCAAAAGTTTAAATTGGTACACACATATTGACATGAGTGTAAGAGGTTGAAAAATACGATTCCGGACTGAATTTAACTATCATTTTAAGCCATGTCATGTTCAAAACCGCTCTCTCAAAACAACGTTTAACACGTCACCACCTAGCCCATACATTCGGTGTTGTGTCTCAGTCAAACTACCAAATCTTCAAAGATCCTTCATACCAACGTCAAGGATATATTTAAAAGATATTGAACCAAGCAGGGAGAAAAGGTCATAATCATAACATAATTATCCTTTCTTTGACCCACAATCAAATCGTTTCACCCAACAAAAGTATTTGTACAGGTTACAACTGCGTTGTTTATAATGCTATCAAGAAGTAATGACCTCATATTTGCATATTGACTAAATAGTTTCAAAGATGTATATTTGATCCTGTAATTTTGAAGAACAATGAAGCCTGGGAGGTAAAATTCAGCACCACAAAATAGCAGATGCAGATACCCACGGAATGGGCTATTGTTTCATGAGGTCCATTAATGTGTCACTGCAATAATACTTAACCAATGATACCGAAATAGCTTCTCTTCACCCAAGAAGTAATACTATTTTGTACCTTTTGGTATGTCATCGGTAAGGCTGCATGTGTAACACGTCTTTCCTTAAGTGGGTGGCAGGGCATGTTTTCCTGTAGCTTGGAATTTATAGGGCTTTCATAATCATATTTGACACAAAAAATGTTATTGAGCCTGAAGGTCGCACACCTATAACTGATAAGAAGCCCGAGCAATGAGCTCCCTCTGCAGACACTGTTCAGGAGGGGATGTAATCACCGTTGTAATTACCTTTATCAAATAGCCATAGTGAAGGCAACTCTCAGAGGAGAGAGCAATTGTGTGCATCCTACTGTGACCGCAACTATAACCATTGGGGTTCTAAAGTACTGCCAACATTGGCTACATGACTATAACTTCCAAATCTCAAATCGCATTCTCTGAAATACTACCATTTATTGAATCGGACATGAATATTTTATTAAACAAAATAAGCACATGCTATTTATTAAAAGAGATAAGGGGCAAACCATGTATTATCAGTAGATATGTTATTTCAACTTGAAAAGAGTACTTAAATATACGTATTTATATACTAAAACAAGCATTATAAAGAGAACACATGACTTGTCAATGTAGGACTCCCAGTTCACATTATGAAGGTGCTGCTTGGATGTTGATAGAAATCAAGAATGCGTCATTCGGCATTGAAAATACACCTTGAGGATTCACCAACCCATAACTCTAGATCCCAGTTCTGGATCCTAATAACAGAATAAACTATACCAATAGGATTGTTTCTCTGTTTTCTATTGGTGCAAAACAGATCTCCCGCGCTATGATTTATGTGACGTCCTCCAAACTATTAACTTGCAAAAGATTTAGAACCAAGACATTTGCCATCATGATGCACAATCGGAATCAACTGTTTCCTGCTACTCTTCCGATACATGTAGCTCTATATCCCTGAACAGAGGAAAGTAAGATAGAACCCACCTCAGTACATTTCAACCCGCTTCTCTATATGTAGATGGAAAGAGGTATTTCTAGCGGCTTAGCTGAAAGTGCATCTGTGTGGATTGGTAGACGACGCGAATGACTGTAGAAGGATAGCTTGGATGGTATTCAGGACGAACGGGCTTCCTTCTACGAAAACAAACTATTTTTGTTACTCCTAATTCTGAAACTAATGGCTAGTAGAACTTGAGTGCGTCAAGTAGTTTCAATAACCTGTACAAGTATGCTGTCATATACGTAGGTTCTCCATTATTCAATGGATTGTTGAGGATGTCTTTTTATGAATTAAAATGTCACATGAATTAACTTTTAGTTATAAGGGGTCACAAAAGTTGAAAGCGCTGAGTGTGGATTTGAACTCACACCTTGAACTATGTATTTTGACCTGTTGAGAGGGAGCATGGGAGTTACCTGCCCTTTGCCTCCTTTGCTTTCGGTCATATTGTAAAAGCTGTGAGAAGCTGTGAGTAATTTCTACATGATTCTGGCGTGGCGTGGCTTCTGCTCGAAAAACATAATACTGTACTGTATAATAGGTATATAAGGGATGGTTGTTGAGAGGTATGAGGGAACTACTACTGCTTTGGATGTACGCTCATCTGTCTGCTTATCGATGTTTCACCACTCAAGAGACCTACCACTGGTCTACAATGATCATTCAACAACTGTCAACAATCTTCAGTCAGTACATCCGTTATTACTCGTAGTATCAATATTTTCGTGAATTGATATTTTGATTTTATACTCAATTGTATTGAAAATCTGTACTGTCATTCATTGTAACCTTGTTTATTCAACATAATATATTATTGAATATTATAGACTGATCTGTATTCTATTTTGCTGGTTTAAAGGGGACTCACAAGCCGTGTATCTCAGTAATTTCTAAACCCTAACAGGATAAAGTGGGGCTCTGCATGCAAGGTCACAGAGCAGCCCTTTATTTCTCAGGCCGAGAGCGTCGGAATATGAGGTACAAACAATATTTCTCATGGTGGTGGACAGAGGTTAGATACGTGTACCCCTGATATTCTGCAAGATGCTGAATAACTCCTCCCACTTGTACCGTTCCGATCCATCTGTCATTACCTTTCACATTTCACATTGTAATTGTCAAATCCAAATGGCATGCCTACACCATTAGAAAGGACATGGCAAAGGGGATCTTTCACATTGACGTCCCGTGTAGCAAGGAGCTTGATGATACCCATGTTAAGGAGATGAATAAGCAGTGTTGGGGATCTGTGCTGTGGACGTCCGGGATGTTGATAATCTGCATGTTAATATTGCGACAAACGTACGCCCTAATGCTTATGAAAATGTTGCAAGACTACCCTGTTGCATGGATCTGTATGCTCTCGTGTTCAGCTTCGTTACTAATTACCGTGGTTATAATCCAGAGAGCGTAATGTAATTTTTGCAGCTAAAGGTAAACAAATAAAGACACAATTACACTCATACTGATCATTCTGAAACACATGTACTACACACTTGTACTATTTCCCATTGTCAAACTGGCACTGGTATCTGACTATTGAACCTCATTCCAAACATTCACTCGACATTTATGCGCTGGTTATTTCATCAGTATGATGTAACCATATTTAAATTGTATACTGTCAATCATAAAGCGACTGACAAGTAGTTCCTGTTTTCATATTACTACAGTTATAAATCAGGATGTTTTCGATGTAGCGTTCCATAAATCCTGCCTCCATTTCCCAACTTCCCACAAACAGCTGTAAAAATTAAAGCCACCACAAATATTTGATAGAAACTAATTAAATCATGTTTATACCATTAGAATAAACGTCTTAATATCGCTCACACTGTTTCCACAACAAGATCAGCCTGGTTCACAATAGGGACCAATGGCTCAATAAGCTCAACTAGTGACCCTGTGGTATCACAGGCAGGTATATCAGGTAAATGATGTATGCTTGCTTGCAGCAGGGTGAATACATGCACTTGACATAATACCTTCAGTGAAAGGCACATTTCCATCTCCAGGACATATGAAAGTTCATATGAATCCAGGGGACGGTGGGGTAGCCTAATGGTTAAAGCGTTGGCTCGTCACGCCGAAGACCCAGGTTCGAATCCCCACATGGGCACAATGTGTGAAGCCCATTTCTGGTGTCCCCCGCCGTGATGTTGCTGGAATATTGCTAAAAGCGGCGTCAAACCAAACTCAGTCAGTCAGTCAGTCAGTCATATGAATCCTGTTTAGCCAACCTCAGAGTGACTGGAATTTGGCTCTGAACTATTTCGGACTATTTCTACACTGGTTAGGTTCGGTATAGATGAATATGATTATTCCGTTGAGATGATATTTCTGTTTTGAAAACACTAAGTCTTTACTTTGATACGTTCTCCCTCAAATAACCCATCCTATGATGTTCCTATATATTGCAACAATGATACTGAGCTATATTAGTGGAGTTGTACTTCACGCCCTTAACCATTTAACATATTATACGAAAACAAATCCCTCACTGGATATGTTTATGCTTGAATACATAAACAGTATTAATGACTGACTGACTGACTGTAGTGTGCTCATAAAGAAAAACGACAACAAATACGTCGGCAATTCGTGATCGTCAATGTCCGAGACCGCTCATGATGACCTTATAGCTGCGTGTATGCCTTGTCCATTTTGTTGCTCTGGGGATCCCTTTCTGGACGTAAAGCGTTAGTGAGTCGTCAAAGCTTAACCTCGCTTAAAAAGTGAATGAGTGAACGTCGAACTCAGCAATATTTCAGCTATATGGCGGCGGTCTGTAAATAGTCGAGTCTGGACCAGATAATCTAGTGATCAACAGCATGAGCATAGATCTACGCAATTGGGATCCGATGACATGTGTCAACCAAGCCTGCGAGCCTGACCACCTGATCCTCTTCATAGCCTCTTACGACAAGCATGGCTTGCTGAGGATAATTCTAATCCGGATCTTCGCCGGTCGTAAATGTGTAGGTCTATATAAGTTTACTCTCAACAATTGCTTTCAACCAAGGGTCCTAAATGTGCCACCGAGTGCACCAGTACTAAAAAGAAAGTTCCACAATTACTGATATGCATGATGTTTTCTATGTAACGTTCCGTAAATGTGAAATCCAGGACAAATATTTCCTAGAATCTAATTGAATAATGTTTATACCATAATCCGAAATATTCCTCAGGATACGCACAAGTATCAGATATCGATTTGCAGTATTTTCTTTCAAAATTGGACACTTATTAACGTCATGCCAACGTTCGCCGCAGTCTATCTGACCAGGCATAATCGGTATCTGTTCATATATAAGACATAAATACCTGCCTTTGGACATTCGTTACATTATATGCCATAGTACCTCAACTTGTTTCCCCAACAACCTCTGTCTGGTTCACCGTCTTTACTAATGGCCCATCGCCACGCAGTGGTTTGGCAGTGCAGTCCTCAAGCTGGCGTGCTAGCTGAAACCAACGACCTGAACCGAGCAACCTTCTGTAACCACAGGCACGTATATCAGGTAAATGTTGTATGTTTGCCGGCAGCTGGGTGAATACATACACTTGATATAATACTGTTAGAGAAAGTCACATTTCTTTCTGTAGGATATATGTCAGCCTACACGAATCTTGTTTTGCCAACCTCAGGTTGACTGGAATTTGGTTCTGAGTTATTTCTGTTGATTTGTATGCTGGTCAAGGTCGGAGATGAAAATAGTTACACTTGGGATCGGGAAAAAATGCGTATGAGAGAGTCGAATAACCCGTCCTGTGGTTTTGTTATATATTACAACATTGGATACTGAACAATATTAGTGGAATTTTCATGTATGACATTTCACGCCCTTATCCATAGAAAACATGCTAAGAAAACAAATCCCTCTCTGGATCTTAGTATACATAAACAGTATAAATGACTTAGTAATGATCATGACTGACAGTAGTGTAATCAAAAAGAAAAGCGACAACAAATGTTACAAGAGATGGAATATAAAATCTGATCTCAGACACAAGCAATGCAGATTAAAAATAAATTAGGAACAGGCAGTACAACAGATAGAAGATGATAATTATGTGACCTAGGTGTCGTTGTACGAACAAGCCTTAGCGCTACAGCTGTCGTAAGTCAGTGTTAAGGTATGGGAGTTACGATCATCTTAGCCCTAAGGTCGCTTTGTACAACGGCACCCTAGTCTTTAACGACAAACACGCTGGAAGAGTTGGAGACACGTTCCATTGTCGCATGTAGGCAGCAAATCAATACATCACCCCATTAATGAAATGGAGTTTCAAAATTTCTCCTACCCTTTGGCATCTTATTCTGTGGCAGGTAAAAGTTCTGCTGTGCGGTCTTGTCAGATGACGGATGCTAAGTGTCATGTGCTTAAACACTAAGGTTAATGAATACGCATAAAAAAGCATTAAACCGGATCAGAGATTGGAACTCTGATGATATTATACACAAGTGAAACTGAGGCTAGACTGAACCACATCACTTCCTTAATGATGCAAATATTCCATAATAACATAAATGAGATGCACATAAACCATATCAAATTCCACTACAGAACCCTCCACAAAACCTCTTATCAGCTTCGTTAAGCTGATTGCTTAAGTTTAAAGTTTTTTTTTAGTTTAAAAGTTTATACTTTTGATTTGCAAATCATATGAATACATAAAACACCATGACCTGATAACAATAAACAAATTTGATATATCTCCCACCTGACACAGTTGACTACATGCTGCTACAATGATATAATTTTAGACTTAAGTTGTGCAACATCTATCAGAAAATGGGATATTCAAACGTTCACACAAGCGGAAAGGAGGAAAAACGATAATAAAATGGGAGAGCTGCTACATGATGCACTACATCCATTATTATTTAACGCCTCAATCTGGAAATATTCTAGATATATAACAGCGACCTGACATGTTCAGGGAGTCTGGACCAAGCAATCCTGTGATTGACATGACATACATGAACATCGATGTGCGCAATCTTGGTTTGATGTTCAACACAAGAAACAGATATAGGAACATGTATAAGATATGATAAAAACAGCGTTACGGATGGAGAAAAAACATTGCTCTATCATAAACGGTGAGTGAAACCGCTATAAATACTAGTTGAAAAAAGCAGCGTAACGGATACAAAATTATCTATTCTATTTGACATGGTCAGTCCAAGCAACTTGACTATACCTTCTACATTTATGATGCATGCACGTGGCCGTCAAAGGAAGCCGCAGTACCATACTGACACAAAAAATAAAACTGATTGAAGCAGCAAAATAACTAGACACGTACGTACTAAAGTTGACACAAGTAATTAATCATCTAGATGTATATTTGCAACGCTGGTACAAGCAGCGAAATTAGTAGAAAATCCATTTTATGTGACAATTCCTAATAAATGAAATCGTGTTATATTTATGAAAACGAAACATTTATCCTGAGCATGAATTATCCTGTTACCACTTGCTATGACAATTATTCAAGCCTTTTTGTCATCCTTACATCATGACTAATTTGGGTTGAAATATATATCTTGCCATTTTCGAACTCATGATATACGCTAGCCCGTTCATTTAAATGACGCTGGTCAGACATCAGAGGCATAATTCCCTTTAAATTTCTTGGTGATGGAATGTTTCACAAAACACATGAATATTGTCATGGCTTCGTTTTTCATGCGACGTACCCTTGAATAACTGAAACATGTCGAACATTTATTGTATCATACCGTTTACAAATTCTAACGGATTTGCCTGTAATTTCATATACACATACAGTGCTTTAGACGAATGTCTTGATGAGGAAATGCACTGATGATATACTGCTTTGCTACACGACGGGTGGAAAACAATCCCATAGATCCTAATGCCAGACTTCATCCCATACGACGTGAAGTTCTCGTAATGATTACGAATAGCTGTATTGCAAGTAAGCGGAACATATAACCCAGTCGAGTCAGCAGTAATTGTCGTTGGGCTTCCTATATATCAGATCCGGCAAGGAAATTAAATCACTACACTGTCCACATTATTCATTTAAGGGTTGCTTGTTTTCAACGAAATACGTCGTTCATAAATTATTCGAGTTCGCATTCTCCCGAAAAAGAAATGTATTTATTATGGTTTGATATATTTCATTTGGAAGTTGTTTCCTGTTAGAATAATAAATGTTGTACAAGCCCAACCCGAGTATAACAACATTTACCTATCTGAACTGATTTCCATAATGATGCCTTATACGAGGGGGCACTAGTGTTGTTCCGATTAATTGAAAAAATCGAAGATTGGTCGCAGTGACCAAACGACCAAGCAATCGATCACATTTTTGTCATAACCGAACATAAACGATTTGGGAACTAGTGTTTTAGTCTTTGAAATACTTGACAATGGAACATATCTTAGAAGTTGTCAGGGCCTGAAAACATGTTTATTTCTTAGAACACTCACTCCACTAACTGAAAAGTCATGACTGAATATTTCTCTAAGACTCCAGGAAGTTTATGTTCATGATATATTAGTCATCACTTTAATGTAGCAAGTTGCAATATGTTATACTTTTCTGCAGTAACAACCTGGATAGGAAAATCTGAAAAATGACGCTAACCAATTTTTTTCGATGATTGTTCGTTGGTAATGAAGTAATCATCAATTGTGAGATTTCAACCAATTTCCCAACACTAGGGGGCACTGATGTTAATGTTCTTCATTCTCTCTGCCGTTAGATGTATACAAAAGTGCATGTTTCACGTATCTCTACAGACGGCATGATCAATGTTAGCATAAAATGAATGGTTTAATACTTATTCCTTCAGACGGAATAAGAAAAGATTTCTCTGAGAATGAGGCCTTGATGGTGGAAAGAATCACGACTTTTGCAGGCTTTAAACCATAAACGATGTAGCCATAATGGAGAATAGAACGGATATGTACTATACATAATTGGAGAAGGATACAATGGATCCCTCCCATCTTCAAGTTTGAAACAAGGTTTAATATATCACGCGCCGTCAGTCATTTTGTCTTTAGATATATTATATGTGACCGAAAGACCAGAACAGAATCTTTAAGGGTCTTTTCAAGCAACAATCAAGTTTATAGAATACTATATTTACGTTTAATGTCAATTACACTATATTTAAAACTTTGCATTCTTCCGTATGATATTTTATATAAATCATTCTCAAAGTTAGTCGGTCAAATAAAAACCTACATGTAGAATCTCATCAACTCACAACCAATTGCAGACAATTTTCAAATTGTGATCACAGATGTATAAAGTCACTGAAAAATATCTAAATTAATGTAAACATTTAGCGTTCTACATGACTACCAGATACCATCCATTCTGAATTAGATAATCCATGAAGATGAAGGTTAGAATTGGTCTTCAGCAACTCATACTTGTCCGAAGAGGCGACTAACTGGATTGGTTGGTTCGGCTCTTACCTGGTTGACACCTGTCATCGATTCCCAGTTGCGTAGATCGATGCTCATGTTGCTAATCACTGGATTGTCTGGTCCAGATTCGATGTGTACAGACTGGCATCATATAACTTTAATAATCCTACTAAGTACACCGTTAAACGACACCCAAACAAACCGAATTACATCAATGATGTGTACAATATGCTATTTTACCACCGTCGATGGTTACCTTGAAAATATAGCTTGATTGTTGTAAAAACGCATTGTCTGACTATGACCACAAGAACGGCCAAAAAAACCCAGTCTCTCCATAAAATAGAAAAAAAACATATATTTCGCTTCACACTCTAATACACAAATATTATTACCCATATGGTGAAACATAGCCAGTGTCATATATATCATACAATGGATAGCGTTCTCGGCAGGATAAAGCTAACAGATATTTTCGATATCCGTTGGGATCGTATACGGATGTCGATGCAGATTAGAGACGTCATATGCAAATTACTACTTTCACAGCGTAAACAAACATGGCGTCACGCCCATCTATTGGCTATCGCATCTGCTTTGGCGGCCTTGGTTACGGTATTGTCAGTGCTTTGATCCAAGAAAATTCATGTCTGGTAATGATAGATGACGTGAATTACGAAGCAAAGATAGAAATTTACAGGCTTGCGAAGATACCAACGC